TGCAAGGTTAGTTTCAATAGATTCGATTCTCAGTATACCGAAAGCTAAGTTTTCTAGCTTTCTATTTCTTATTTTGTTTGAAAAGTTTGATTTATAATTTCTTGTTTATTGCGTGGATGGCTTCATTATAGATAGGTGTTTAGTGATGGTTTTTTGGTGTTTCATTATGTTAGTTTCAATGATGTTGTGGTCATAGACTGAAGAGATGTGGATAGGAGAGCTGCGGCAAGGAGAGGTAGTGACAAGAGAGTTGTGGCAAGGAGAGGTAGCGACATGGGAGAATCCATCCACGGTTTTGCTATCATGATTGCAATTCAAATAATCACTTATCAAATTCCCACACACACCTTCCATCTACGATTTTGCTATCGATAAGCTTTCATCCACGATTTTTCTATTCATAAGTATCAATATATATATGAATATGAATATTATAAATTTTATAAAAAAATATATACATATGGATATCAAAATGTAGAAGAGAAAAAGTTATAATTTATATTACAAATTAGTATAGATTTTTATACATTAAATTTATAATGATGACCAATACAATATGTGAGGAATATTAAACCTTTTTAATAAAAAATAACATTTAATTTAAATATATTTCAATTGTTAGATTTTTTTTTGTTTTGTATGTTGTGGTTCATAATAAACTCAACCACCCAAAAACTAACTAAAGTAAATGCTAACCAAACAATAAACTAAACTCATTGTCTCCTCTTAATGGAAAATGGCATTTTGGTCCGAAAAACGTCTTGGATTTGGTAAAAATGTTCTACCAGTAGAATATGTCCCATAATGTAAACAAAGACAAAAAAAAAAATTTTAAAGAGTAATGCACTATGAGAAATTTGAGCGACCTTAAAAAAGACTATAATTACGTGAATACACATTACAATTGAATGCTTAGAATATAGCCTAGACATTATATACTAATTGCCATTTCATCCCTAAATATAGGTTTGTCTAGGAATATTTTCATTTTCATTTTTCTTTTTCTTTTCTTATAATTATGCTTCCCTTTCAATTTTAAGAGCTTTTAGTTTTTTGCATAATCCAATTATTGAGTTTTATGTTTTACATATTAAAAATATAGATGATTTCTGTATATAGCATGTTTTGAACATTTAAAAACAGATATATATATATATATNTCATTTTCATTTTTCTTTTTCTTTTCTTATAATTATGCTTCCCTTTCAATTTTAAGAGCTTTTAGTTTTTTGCATAATCCAATTATTGAGTTTTATGTTTTACATATTAAAAATATAGATGATTTCTGTATATAGCATGTTTTGAACATTTAAAAACAGATATATATATATATATATATATATATATATATATATATATTACATAAACTAACTTTCAAATATTATAATTCAATTTCTAATTCAAATGAGGTATCATTTTGTGATGTTCTGTTTTATCTAGTAAATATAGAATATAAATTAAATTTTACAACATCACACAATCTCTCTCTCCCACCTTGGGGCTCGAACCAACAAGCACAAGGTTAAGAACCTTGTGTTCTACTAACTGAGCTAGACATTCTAGTTGAATTAGGTAGTTGAGTAATTTTTGAATTACTTACTTCTATATGCCATATTGGTATAGAAGAAATGAAAGACGAACAAAGGTTTAGGAAAGAAATCTATTTTATTAAAATAAATTATATTTAGAAAATAACACTTATTTCATGTTAAATATTACAGTTTTTACCACTGAAGATATATTTATTCGTAGATTTCATCATTAATTATTCTTATCTCGTCTAAAACAATTAAAAGCATTCCTAATTCACTAACAATTCATGAACTGATTTACTCTTTTCGTTTGAGCCTATATATTCTCTAACTACTGCACCATAATCTTTTTATATTGTAAATGTGCTACTTAATTTTTTTGTGGAAGTACTATGGTCTAGTAGTCAAGGTTTAAAGATTTCTACACCTAGGTCCGAGATTCGAATTCTCATAGGACATATATAGTTTTCAGCTATAATATTGTCTTTATAATGTATTTTATATAGATTTATATTTAATGTAGTGTTTTTTTCAGCGCTGATTTATTATGATAGTACAATTATGAGAAAGATTACATAGACGATTCGACAACGACAATACTACATGCCTTATGAGGACCTACGCCTAACTGCATCACCAAAACCGTCCTATAAAGATTAATGCATGATCGGATTTACTTTCACAATGTTGAAGATTCCTTGTAAGCTTTTCTTATAAAGTCTGTATAATTGTTTAATAAATTACTTTCTCTGGTGATTAAAACCTAGATCTCCTATAATATGCAATCTGTAAGAAATTGCATTGTCTGGGGTTCTAACCTTAGACCTAGGCGTAGAAACCTTTAAATATTAACCACTAGGATATGGTGATTCCACAATAATATAGTGTGTTTAGTTTTTAGTTTGATCGCCAAATTGTAATTCAGTATTTCCCAAATTTCATTACCATATCCATGAACTGCCATTAAAGCACACTATTTTGTTCCTTTGAAAATAAAAATGCAGGTTCTTCCTTATTATTAAATTATAATGATACATTTTGAACAATCATTTTGTCCTGAAAATTTTTAACAATAGTTTTCCATACATGCATAGAGGCTATAATCCCTTATATATTAATCCTAAAGCATTCATAAATGCACAACCTTGGAGAGCATGCTTACGCGTCAAACTCACAGAGCTTCTCATCCTTAATTTTTTAATGGACCAACTTTGCTAGGAATGAAATAATGTAACATTTAATTTCTTGCATTTAGGACTATAATATATAAACATTTTTTTAAGGGACCAATTCTGCTAGGTATAAAACAATATATTTTCTTTCCTTAAATAAAAGCTACGAAATTACCTAATATGATTAACATATATATGCAATTAATGATTATGATTAATACATATTTTTGTGTCCTCTTTTTTTACTTTCAAATTATTAAAATAAATTAAACAATCACATTAAATATATAATAAAAAATTAAATTTTTTCTTATAGGTTATATTTTTAATTTCTTAAAACGATCATAAATAACTAAAAATAGTAAAATCCCACATTGAAAATTTTATGATCAATGGTTTAAATTTGTTTTTTTTCAAACAAAATACAAATTATCATAAATCGTACGAATATGAAGTATCATTAGTAGATATTCATATTATAAATATGTTAATTTAAAAATTTCAGTGAAAATGTTTGAGATTAGTAGATACAAATTATAGCATTCAAAAGATTTTTGTAGTTTGTTTTATTTACTTTTTTAAAAAAATATCTTTTCGTTTGTTTAGATAATTTAACTAATTTTAAATTAGATTTATTAATAGTTTAAATATTTTGAATTTTTTTTGTCAACTTTTAATGTTTAAAAAATATTTTTTGGGATGATTTCATATATTGGTTACAATCCAATCTAATCTGAATTGAGAAGAACAAATCGAATCCAATCTGATAATTAGTAAAATTCAAATAGGATTTATGAAAATTATACCAAAATCTGAAAATACGTCTCAATCAAACCAAACCGACGAAGTCTCAAACGTCCAGAAATGTGATGATTTAAGATACCAACATTTGTATTCATCATTTTATAATCGATAAATATTATAGTATTACAAAATGTTAAAAACCATTAAATGAATAAGTATTGATATAAAAATTTCACCCTGCGCATGTGCGCGGGCTATCATCTAGTAAAGTATATTATAAAGCAAGCAACATTAGTTTTTAAAACCAAAACCCTCTTTTATTGTTGTTGACATCTGGTTGTAAGATTTATGCTATTATCGTTGGATCACCTTCAGAGAATCTGTTATCTGCTATCCCTTATTGACATCTTGTTTTGTAGTCTTATACGAAGCAGATTTATGATGGAAACATCTATAGTTCAAGGAAAAGAGACTAAAATAAATCAACTCGACGGTTTGGCAAAAGTTGTATGCGCATTGGGAAGAGCATGCGACTATAGATAAATCATTCAGAAATTCTGCCAACCACACGAGCGATTATGGCGGGAAAGGTGTTTTTTGTCTACAACCTCGGTGCTTGTAACATGTCTTCTAAGAAGGATCAACTTGTAAGTTCTATATATTTTTTTTAATTTTTTATATATTTATCGATTACTTTTTTTTAGGTTGAAAAAAATGAAGGTAAAGTAATACCATTGATCATCTCGATATCATGAATAAGGCGTACACTAACAAGAAGACGGGCGAAATTCAGGATACCGTTATGAGAAAGATCATAGAGTTGGTGGAATCCCAAAAAAAAACATTACTAACTTCTCAGTCTATCTTTGATGATGGTTCCTTGACAGCTTCCATAAATTTCTCCTGACTTTAGATAAACCACATGGTGGAACATATAATTTTTTTATTTTTCACTTTATTACTAATTTAATTTCATTATTAATATTTTATTTAATTTATTTTTATAGGCAGTTCTGAAGAAGAAGGTTGTTTGGTCGATTTGGCTCGACGTGCCTCTTCTTGTCTTTCTTCTTCACAAGCCATGTATGCTGTCCTATGATTATAAAGCATCTGTTGAACAAGGATGACCGGATTGTAGCGTTGGAGACGTAGAACACCATAATTCTTTCTGAATTGGGAGATCAAAACAGGAATAAACATGAGATATTGGAGAAGATAAACCGTTTGTTTCCTATCGGAATTTTTTTTTATTAAATTAAAAACTTTTTTGTTAATTGAAAACTATTAAATATTGTTTTAAATTGTGTGAAAACTTAATTTCAATAATATTTGTTCTTAATTTCAGTTTCTATCGGTTTATTTAAATAAAATATAAATTTATAAAATAAATAAAATAAATATTTGAAATTGATAATATATAAATTGATAATAACTTATTTTGCTTTCAACGGAACAAATCTTACTTCATCTCTAGTGTATTCCAATAATTTACATGCACGTATAAATACATACCCCCAAAATTATCACACAAAATATGAGATCTCATCACAACTCATAAGGACTCGTTAGTAAAAGGGATCTCTTGGAACTTAAACGAAGCATTACCCACATTCTCGCGTTCCAACCTGAACACATCATCCTCGTCATCCGGCAATGGCATCACTTGTCTGTCACCGACCTGTCGTGGTGGCGAAGCCACTCGGTGCCACGAAAACTCGCTCGAGTCGAGTGTTTGGTTACTAAATAACATGTGGGTACCAACGCTGCTGCTCCTGGGCGGTGGGGACAAAGCCGCAGTGACAGAGGTATCCCAGAGGATAACGTGGAGGATGATGGAAACCTTTGCGTGACGGTGAAGCGACAGTTTCTGGCTGAGCGAAACGGTGTCGTAGCAGCGAATGGCTCCTGTAGAGGAAGCCATCCACGGCAATACCTTTTGGCTGCCAACACGTGAAACCACAAGACGACGGGACGCCTTGGCTGCATCTCTGTATAATGAGCTCAGGCCCGATCTTGCAGCTGGTGCACTCTCATCTTCGTGGTCCGTTACTGAGGAGACATAAATGAAACCCTGTGGAAGAAATATTCCATTTTAAAGTTTAAATTGTTGTTTGGAAGAGATGCTGATAATATTATACATAACTCAATAGATATTTTCACCTCTTCAGTGCGGCTAATGGAGAAACCAAGTTTGGTATCATCATCTCTAAGTTTGATTTCAAGAGGCAACTCAACGCCAAGAGGAGCATACCAAAGCCGAACCGCTCTCACAACACCAATATCTACTCCATGATAGTCCTCAAATCCATACAGACTCGCGTTTGCAAGATTCGACAGGTCAGAAAGAGATGTTGTATTAACTGTTGCCGAGGCAGTTTCTCCCGATATCTTTACCATGTAAAAAAAAGAAATCAACATTTCATGTTGCACAAAAATAAAAATATTACACAAACTATAAATGTCTGACCTTAGTGAGCAGAGATTCAGTCTGTATATTCATAAAGACTATTGGTACGCCATTGGCTTGTGAACAACTTAGCCAAGCATTTGCACGAGCAAGTGTGTCTTCCAAGTCGTGATACCGAGAACCCGCCCTTCCATAATCTATATTTAATTTTTTAAGTTGTTAACATTCACACGTGTTATGTGTATTATGGAATTTAACTGTATGAACCTGTAACTAATAATTTCAATACGGTTTCTTACCAGAAGCTTTGGGAAGAAAAAGAATGGAGAGGAAATTGCTTGAGCCGGAGATTGGTAGAGCTTCTTGCATCCGTCTTTCCCATGGATATGAAACATAGCCATCTTGAAGCTTGGCTCTCACCAATGCTTCCACCATTCTTGATCCTCTTGAAGCTGCACATAATTTTAACAACATTTTTTTTTTTTGATAAATTTTAACAACATTTCTTTCTTTTTTTTTTAAACCAAAAAAAAAAGCATTTTTCATTTTGTACTCGCAGTAAGCGACGTTATAGAATTCCAGTATTGAAAATTATGGTCTTAGAATTTCATTGTATATTTTATTTTAAAAGTAAAATTGTAGAATAGAACATATAAAGCCAATTTGTTTGTTATACTTAATTCATTTTCTAAATAGAGTATATGTAAATGAAATGAATATAATATTAATTTTGAATGACTAAAAAGTAAAAACTATGGTTAGGTAACTTATGATGATCAGACTATGTAATTTAAAGAGCAAATTCATTTCAATAAATTTAACTCTAGAATTATTTAAATCTTAACAAAGTAATTCTTTTTTTGGTCAAACAAAGTAATTCATTTAAAAAGTCCTAATTGAATCATTCACAATTTTAACCAATGCATCAACTCATCGTTAGTATAAAATTATAAATATAAATGTATCATGCTTCTTAGCAGATTTTGGTTGAGTGAAAGTTTTGTTTAGTTTATTTTTATTTTGGACCAAGAAAAGAAAACATTCTTAGTTTATAGTTATTGATCAAATAAAATGTATAAGTAAATTGATATGTATATTTTTAAATGTAAAAACGTTCTATGTTTCGTTTTTTTTTTAACTCAAACATTTTGATATGTTTTGCAAGAAAGATCATCACTATGAAAGATTGCTACTCTGAATTTTACAATAAAAATCGTCCAAAAAAACAAAATGGTACACTTTTAATAGCCGTTAAAATAATTGGTACTCATTTATTTACTTTAAATAAAACAAAATTCGTAATAATAATAACAGCATTAATTGAATTTCACCAACTGAGAAAGCACGATAATGTACGATTACGTACGATGCGAAGGCAAAATTCAACAAATAAACCAGAAAAGTCAACAAGAACCATAAAAAAGAAGCAGAAATATAATTAACCTACCGAGTTAACTCACCTTGTATACCGAGGCAATCCGACTCAGTACGATCCGAGAACCCAACTGTATAATTCGGGTCATCAATGGATCTAAGCATGTACTGTCTTTTGCCCGCGGATTCGTTAGGAACAATACAAGCAGAAAGATCAGAGAGAACTTCGGAGCCACGTCTAACTCTGACAACAATCGAAGTTTCTTTGTTCTTGTATGAGTTGTGAAGAACTTTCTGGAGCCAAGCTTTACCTCCTTTAAACGGAGCTTTGAAAGTAGCAGAACCGGGTCCTGAACCGATCCTGATCTCTTCCACTATGTCTCCTGTTTGAAGCATATCGCCGCTCCATTCCTCGCTTTTTGAGCTTCCTTTGAGACAGTCGATGGAGAGGACGACGGAGTTTTCGGGTCGGGTCGTGGACTCTGATTGGTGGGTGCGATCCATTGGAGATGTAACCGGGTTATGTCCTTTGGACCCTTTATAGTTTATACTGAAGCTGTCTGCACGAGAGAGAGAACGAAAGAGAAGAGTTTATTTTTCTTGGGAAGTGATTCGGGACGCGGAATCTTTAAGAAACTATACAAAGTCGTACTTGGCTTGATAGATTATAATTTATACTAGATAATAATCGGCCCGATTATTAGTTTTGTTATTTTTAAGATAAAATGATATTATGTCTGTTTAGCATAAATATTGGTTCAGTTTTACATTGTTTTTTAATCTCCTAAAATAAATCTATCATTCTAAATCTATATTTATTTTGGTTTGTTTGGTTTAAATATTTGATGTTTTTGATATTTTCGATGATAACCAAAAACTATTTTTATTTGTTTGGTTTCGTTTTATATAAATTTTAGACATTTTTTATGTCGAACTAATAGTATCCTATTATAATTTCTAAAGACATGTAAAATCAAATAAAATCTAAATTTGGAAAAAAAAGAAAAAAAAATTGTTAACATAAAACATTTCACTACAATTTGATAAAATATTTCACTACAATTTGAGCGATAGTGAAAGAAAACATTAAAAAAAAATTAAACTTCAATAAGAATAACATTATCACTTGTGGTGAATATTTAGTTATATAGTCCATCATGCCAATGTGTACATGTATGTATATGTAAAAGTATATAAATGTCATGGTAAATATATGAATATACCGTTAATTAATATTTAAAACATTTTTGTTCAAAATAACACATGATAGTAAATTGTAAAATAAAATTACGTAAAAAGTAAAAAAAAACCTAGAAAGAAATAATATTTTTTCATATGAAGAAAATAAAATTGTAACCGTAAACAATAAAAATAATATATATTATAAAGTGACATCTTCACTTGGTAGCTGAATTCTGTTTTTAATCGATTTTGTGATTTTTATTTCTTTTAAAAGCTTTTCTGATTTCTGATTTTTTTTCTACTAATTTGATTTTGTTTCTAATTCTTAGTATGATATGAAAACTTTATAAAAAATTTAATATTTGATTAAACTAAAGATCTGACTTTACGTGTGGTATTTTTCACCTCAGCTTCTTTAATTTATAATCAATCACCTTATTTATTGTTATTGTGTATCGAAGCCTCAACCATGACCAACTTCGGCAAGGTACGAAACTTTCAATTTTTACAAATATTTTCATCGCAACATTTTAGTTGATGCGAATCTTAATGATTTTGTTTTTTTTTTTTACAATAAAGATATTATTCATTAGTTTCACGTAGAAAGTTTTAATTAATTAATACAAAAGATATAAATGTAGGAAAAATGAATTAATTAAAAAATAGTATATAAACACATTAAATAATGAATTTTAAAAATTAGTGTGCAAACGCATTTATTGCCAAATGATTGTATAGCCGACATGTGTCAATAGTATGAACGTATTTATTACAATGTTTCTCTTTTAATATATAAGGGATTCTTTACTAGATTATTGGAATGATTCATTCTTAACCACTGACACTTGTGTTGGAACTCTTCTTGTTTAGGTTTTAGTTATTATGATATTACAATTATGAGAAAGATTATACAAACAATTCATGCCTGGCCGAGTTTACTTGCATCAGACCGAGTTTACTTGCATAATTATTTAATAAATTACTTTTGTCCGGGATTGAAACATGGATCTCCTAATGTAGAAGCATTAATAAACCCTCAGTCAAACCATTAGACTAACGAGGCTTCCACATACTCATTCCACTTTAGAAAAATAATTCTTTTTTGAAAGATACAAGTATTGATATTTTAGAAAGATACAAGTTTTGAAATATACTTAAATAACCAATATACAACTAACCCTAAGATATTCAAATTAATTCTAGTTAAGGATACAAATTAATTTCTCATACAATATTTTTGTAACATCTCAGTCTACTAAAATCTTATGCGCCGCTAACCTACTATCTTTGCGAAGGTTAATTTTTCGGAAGTTCAAAATATTTGTTTATTGACCTTATAATTTTTATATGACATTTTTTCGTACTTTGGGCTCATTCGCATGATATCACAAATTATTTTTTGATAGACTATCCATCCTTCTATTACTCCAGCGCAAGCAAACTTAACTTTTGAATTCTTAACGAATGTATATCCAAAGGATAAATGCACTTTGGTGACATATCTAACCAAATAAATTTTATTAAGCCTTTTCAGATATACCAGAAGCTGAAAAGTTACAATTCACTTCTCTCAAAGAATGCAATGCCTTCATTGTAACCCAAGATCGTTACCCATGTTAGTATGAGCCTTCATTGATTCCACACTCGTCTAGATTCGGTTTTGATACCATTTCTAACGCTCCGAACACTCCCGGTTAATGGACCTCCCACATGCAATCACCACATGATATTTTCTCGTACTTTGACCTCACTCGCATGATATCAATATCATTTCCTGATTGGTCACCCATCCTTCTACTACTCCAATGCAATATTCTTAATTTTTGAATTCTAAACGGATATATAACCAAAAACATAAGTGCAATTTGATGATTAATTACTTTTGTTAAATTTACCCACATATATTGTAAACTGGGACACTACTTTTTTTTAGAAAGATGGAAGTTTTAAAATAATGTTTCAAAAATATATATTTACTATATATACATTTTATAAGATGATAATAAGAAACTGTAAACTTCGAAAAGAATTATAGTTATTAATTTTTATTAGTTTAAAATTATAAGAAATATATAATTTAATAAAATAATTTACTACGTATGAAAATTTTGAAAACATATATTTTCAAAGTTATATTAAATTAATATTGTTTTGTGTCAGAGAAATCAGTTATTAATATTGTTCCATTAAGGGTGCTAGAGTTATTAAGCATCTCCCTTTAAGAGTGTTCTAGCACTTTTAACGGGAAGATGCTTAATAACTGGTTTTTTTTTATACAAAATAGTATTATTTTAATATAATTATGGAAAACAATTAAAATTGATTTAGCTTTTAGAATGTTAACCATTTAAAGATTGACACATATTCATATGAGTATCAATAAGATATCTACGAAGTCGTAACTGCATAACCTGTATCTCTTCTTTCTCCACCTTTTCATAATCTTTTGTTTTGTTTATTCCCTAATATTCAGTGAGATCTTGTCTGTTAGACATACTTTAAATTTTTAGAAATGGTGGACACCTCAGTCTGGGTTTTTTGATAAATCTCATCGTCTGATCCGGTCGGTTCTGGAAGGAACACACTTAATGTTATAGAGTAAACTAATCTGAAAGCGTACCACACTACCTGAACCGAATTTGAAATATCGTATGACTAATGCTAAAGGGTAGACCGATCACCTGCTACAATCCATCATGTTAACCATTTGGATCTAAGCCCAAGTCTAGACTGACCAAGTAATAATAATCTGCCTCGCTCTGTTTTTCTAAAATCGATTTATTGTTTGAATTTGCTTCTAGCTATTTTTTTTCTAGCAGCAAGAATTTAAGCTTATTTGGTTTATAATGTTTAAAACTAGAAGTTTTTAAGAAAAAAATCTGTTGATAAATGAAATTAACAGTTGAAAAAAGTATAAACTGTTAGCTGTAAAATTATTATCGTAACATTTAATAATTTATGATAAAATAATGTTGAAAACAACAACATTTGCCAAAGATACTTTTTTTGTGGAAGCCACTTTCATAACTGATCAAGATTTCGTCTGTCATGGAATTTTTTTATTGTGATAGTAAGCATCTAAGATACGACTTCTCTTTGATTTTCTTTCTATTCTTAATGACAGAAATGCATGGAAGAACACATTATCTACTAATAATATCATGAGACCGAGATACAGAGTAAAGAAACAAAACAATGAACTTGTCTCATGCTCGATCTCCCTAGATATTGACTTAGTACTTGACAAATGAAGAGAATTATTCTAAAGGACAAAGGTCGATAAAGCATGAAAACGTTAAGCTCTTTTTCTGGCAGCTAATATTTAAGCTCTTTTGGTTTATAATGTTTAAAACCCGAAGTCTGTAAAGTTTACTTTTGTTCATAAATGAATGCAACAGTTCCGAAAAGAGTATAGAATGTTAGTTGTAAAACTATTCTTGTAATAATTTAATAATTTAATAATTTATAATAAAATTATGTTGAAAACAACAACATTTGTCAAAGAAATATTTTTTTGTGGAAGCCACTTTCATAACTGATCAAGATTTCGTCTGTCATAGAATTTGTTTATTGTGATCGTATCTATGTGTCCATTATAGAAAATATATCATTATTTGTAATAAGGTAATATGGAAAGTCAAATGATTAACTGATTACGTTACTATCGACAGCCAAATCAAGTTGTTTTCATGTTGCTCTTTGAAAATATCAAAGATTTCAATGTAAACATCTAAGAATAAGATACAACTTTTCTTTGTTTTCTTTCTATTCTTACTAGCAGAAAATGCATGGAAGGACACACAATCTACTAATATCATGCGACCGAGATAGAGAGTAAAGAAACAATGAACTTGTCTCATGCTCGATCTCCCTAGATATTGACTTAGTAGTTTAAAGACTTTTAAGTCCACATTTGAATTTTATTTTTGCTACATAATGTTTTCACATGTATTGCTGCAATGTTGTTCAAATTAATCCTTGAAAATGCAGGTTAAAAAAAATTACAACCGGTTCGGTTGTGTTATATAAATGAGGTGTAATTTAGAACCATGTTTCATATAGATTTGCGTGTTGCAAGAAAAATCGTCATAACAGAGATTTTTTTTTGTGTGATCTCATCTATTTTGTCCATTATAGACAGTAGACCATTATCTAGAATAAGGTAAAATCCAAAGTCAAATGAGTAATTGACTATGCAATTGACGACAGCATCAAATGAAGACAGAGATTTCAATGTAATGTGTTAAAAAAAAAGATTTCAATGGAATTTACATTTAATTTACATGAAGAAACTTACCTCGAGATGGTATAGTTACTTGGTTTGGTACAAGGATTTAGTGGTCTCCTGGCTCCTAATCTTGTTTGTAATTTTTTAAATTGTTTTATTTTGTTAGATTAGGGTTTATTATGGATTTCCAACTTAAAATCAATTGGTGATTAATAGATTGACCATAACCTTTTATATATTATTTAAGATCTTTTTGATTTCTTGATGTGGTGGGATATATTGTCCCTAAAGCCTTCCTCAAGATGATGACTATTATCAGGTAAGAAATCTCAAAACTTTAAGACATTTATACTCGGTCGAACGAATCAAATACAACAATTATACCTAATTGAAAAAGTTAATTAATTAATTAGGAGTTTAGGAATTTTTAGGATTTTGGCTGTGATACCATCTTGTATTAGGATTGATTATGAACTTCTAATTTAAAACCAATTAATGATTAGTAAATTGGTCCTAATCTTTTATATATTACTTAAAGTCTCTTTCATTTTCTGATGTTTAACATATTATCCCTAATATATTCTTTACATATTCTTAGAATAAACGCACTTGATACATCCATTCAATTTTTCTTATCCCTAATATATTTTTCACACATTCTTAGAATAAACGCACTTGATACATCCATTCAATTTTTTCTTTAACATTTAATTAGATAGCACTTTTCTTTGTTTTTGTCACTTAACAGATCATGCATGAACAACACTATCTAGTAAAATCATGGGACATGATAAAGAGAAGACGAACTTCCCCGCATGCTTTGTCTCCGTAGACGTTGACTTATCAAGTAGCAAATGAAGAGTAGGTTCTAAAGGACAGAGGGGGAAAAAACACATGAAAAACATTAGTAGTTGAAATGCATTCATTTTCTTCTTAAATGAAGACTTTTATATCCACATGTGAATTTTACTTTTTGCGACATAATCTTTTCACATGCATAGTTGCAAAGTACTTAAAAGAAGGATAATGTGCCAACTTCGTTTCAAATGATCATGCTTCTACTAAATGGGCCGTTTCAGGGTTTGTTTAAACCTTCACAAAAAACTTTTTTTTTTCTTTTTGGGCTTTCAAACGTTAGGAAAATCAAATAATATAATTTGGTATAGTCGAAAAACGGCACCGTTTTCAATGATCTTCTTCATCGTCCAGGAATCTTCCGTTATCCAAAAAAACACACTTCTCATCAGTCCTTTCTTCTCGACAGAAATGGCTGCTCAATCCTTTACTTTGGCGAATCTAAAGATCTCCCAAATCGATTCTTTCAACAATCATAAACCATCTTCTCCATTACACTTCTTCTCCACGAGGAACACATGGTTGGGCGGTGATTCTTCTCTCTCCCTCGAGTCCTCCATCTCCGTCCTACGAACCACGCGGCAAAGGATCCCAATCGCCGTCGTTGCCAGCTTACCCACCGCGTAGGTTCTCCTTTCCGTTGATCAATTTTACTACTTCTTCCTCGTCTTAACTTACAAGACTTTGTGTGGTCGATTCTGGTTACAGGAATCCAGAATCTGCGGTTTCTGATGCGAAAAAGCCAAAGTAAGTGTTTGTTCTTGAAGCTCCTGAGGTTGATTTAGGGTTGGTAATGTAAATCAATGCAATGTAGATGGTCATGGAGAGGAATCAAATCATTTGCAATGGGAGAGCTGGAAGCTAGGAAGCTCAAGTATCCCAACACTGGTACTGAATCACTTCTCATGGGTATCTTGATTGAAGGTAACTTTACTTCTTGCTTTCTTGATATCATAGATTGGTTTTGGAATAGTGTTGAATCTGTGATGGGCAGGGACTAGTTTTACTTCCAAGTTTCTGAGGGCGAATAAGATAACGCTTCAAAAAGTTCGTGATGAGACAATCAAGTTACTAGGGAAAGCGGATTTGTATTTCTTCAGCCCTGAACACCCTCCTTTAACACAAGATGCGCAAAGAGCTCTTGACTCTGCTGTCAATCAGAATCTTAAAGCAGGTGAATCTCATCTTATGCTAGCTAAGTTTTTATGGTGATTTGAAAGCAACATTACTTGGTTTATTTTGATTGAGAGCGAGTTTCATGAATATGCATACTCCAACTTCATGAGCAACGTTGCCTTGTTGTTACAGGTGGTATTGGGGAAATAATGCCGGCACACATATTGCTGGGGATCTGGTCTGAAGTTGAATCTCCAGGTCACAAGATACTGGCAACTCTTGGTTTCACTGATGAAAAAGCTAAAGAGTTAGAGTCTTTTGCCTCTGAATCTGGATTTTTAGATGAATAGTGTGTTGTTACATTTATGCCATCTTATTTTTCATGTGGTCTCCAGACTCGTAGTTGCAGTTGGCAATGATGTTCTTATCTGTTCATTCTACTGTTCTTAATCTCAGCTCTTTGCTTTTTCCTTGGAGACTTTAAGCACTTCCAAAGAGAAATTACTTGCACTTGGATCCTTCAGATTTATGTGTGATCTTATCACTATTGGCATTTTTTTCCGCAGCCTGAATTTTTATTTAGACGAGAAACGATTACACAATGTAAATGTATCACACGGTTATTAACCATCTGGATCTATCATCATGAGTTGTTTCGGCTCTTCTATCATCGCCTAGTGGGCCGACTATAGAATTTCCTTCAATGTACCTTTTGTAGAAAGGGTCCTTCTTCATTCTTCGTTTTGTTCGGTCGTCTTCATCGAATTCATAATATGCTTCTTCGCTGGTTCCGAAATTTTCAGTTTACGTATAGATTTGGACCGATTGGTTATAGGTTGTAAACTGTTATAGGTCTGGTGATCCGTTAGTTTTGTATTTTAAATTTATTCTAACCAAATTATACCAATTTCTACGGAATCATAAAAAAAATAGTAAACCGAACTATTCAAATTAAATGCTAGACGACTATAAAGTGAGATTTCCAATTACACTTGTTTCCAGCGAATTCGTTTAAGAGAACCAATTCCTAAATCTTCGTTCTAGTACCTAGGGTTGGGACTTTTATCTAGGATCCGGATTCGATCCGAGATTCGCTCCGCTTCCGTTCCGAAGTTATGATATCTGAGGGTGTCTAGATCCAAATCATGATATTAAAATCTCGGATCCGTGCAAACTGAATTTGGATATCTTAATTTTTAGGTCCAGATATCCGGATTCGGATCCGTATTTTAAAAAAATATATTAAATTTTTTATTTTATTATTAATATATCTGATATATTAATATTTATACATTAATTAAGTTTAATAATATTCTATTTTTATGTTAAAAATATTATATGTCATATATATATTCATAAATTATGCTTAAATATTTAGTTTATATATTATTTTTAGAATTTTTGATTTTTTTTTTAATTTTTTAGTTATTTTTACGGATCCGACTCCAAATCCGGATACCCGTGGATATCACAATATCTAGATGGATATCCGGATCCCGGATATCCGAAAGACACGAATCCGAATCCGGTACTAAAATCACGGATCCGACAAATCCGAATCCGGATCCGCATACTTCAAATTTCGCGGAGATCCGGATCCGTCCCACCGCTACTAATACCAAACCTAATTCTAATTGGTTTACAAATGCAAATAAAAACTTTAATACACTTAACTAATTAAATCGATCAATTCAGGTCAAAGGTGGATCCTTCTTCCTTGTGGTTTGATATGGGTCTTGTTCAACCAACACACAACTGAACCCAGCCCTGGTTTGATATGGATCTTGTTTAACCAACACACAACTGAACCTGTAAAAACATGGTATGTGGATAAATCTATATGTTCGAGTGTGATGTGTTCATGTGCAAGCATATATGAGTATAAAGTAAAGAGACACAGAGATTTGTTAACGAGGTTCGTTTCCTACATCCCCGGGACCACGTCAAGAACTCATTCACTAGAAAATGCCGTAACAAACCATTGTTATATGGTATCCAACACACACCCGTGCCTACCACTCTAATCTAGAATTACAATGATAAGAGCAACTACTACTCTGAAAAGTATAGTTCTCCATAACAAAACTACCAACAGATCTTCATCTGTCTGGTAGGACGACGTCACACACATCCATGTGCATCTTCAATAAACTCTAAACGCGTGACGGCTTCATCTCACCATTTTGTCTCTTTATACTCCAATAAGAAAAACCCTAGCTCATTAAGCCCACTAATGCTTTTTAATACATATTTCGTCAGCTAAATATATGGGAATATTCCATATCACCGCATCTTGATGATTCTTTTTTATTCTCCGAAGCGTGTGTCACACACCATTATCTGTGTGTTACACAATGGTGTGTGTCACACACAATTATCTGTGTATTACACAAGTACGCAAACCAAAACTCAACCACTGCAGCAACCTATTAAACTCTAAATTCTTGAGCTTACAGAACCCAGCCCAAGTAGCTCCGTGATGTCTTTAAGCTTCTCCAATGGTTCAGGTCGGGTGTTACCTACTTTTATGTTCCAAGCCAAGCTTTGATCACTTGTCGTCCACTGTATTCTCCATCGTCCCCCATTTACCATAGCATGCTCGTCCATATGATTAACTGGTCGTCCAACTTGTTCATGGTCGTATTGCAAGCTCAAGCACGTCCTTGGATCATGCTCTGGTCGAATGAGATGATGATCATTTTGATCAATAAGCTCATTAAATCTTTCCTCACACTAACGTCGCTCAATATCATGTAACATGATATCTACAGGTAAAGTGGGATTTGTGTACTATAGTAGTTTTGGTGGACAGGTCTGATTACCTGGTAGCCAAGCATTGGAGATTTTTGTATCTTTGCCATCTTCCATTCGAATATTAATTCCTCTTTGAATTATATCTCTTATAAATAATAAAGCAGCCAGCCATATAATTGTTTGCGTCCCTTTATTTGCGTTCAAAATATCTCTATTCTTGAAACATGTGTTTTTCGTTATAACATGCCTTCTGGATGTTGTATCAGTTTCAAATATGATTAGTCAGTAGGGACTG